TTCTACTCGTTTCTTTTATTGAAGCGCTAAATTAAACAATCGGAACATAGAAAACTGTATTTACAATTATAGACAGTTCTTTTTTCTCTTTTTTTCTTCTACATTATTATTCTTTTATAATCTCAAAGAAATATGGCGTCGGATGGGTGTTGGTGCAGTGTGGCAAAATAACTTAGAAAGATTTTTTTTGTTTTTTTCTGAACTGTTAAAAAAAATTGCGGCGCCGTTATAATCTATTTCCAAGCAAATTAACCTTGCATGGAATTTGAAATCGATTATAAACATCCAAGGTGAAAGCAGGGCAGCAAAAGAGAGAAACGAAGAAGAAGCAGAAGAAAGCCAAAGAAGAAAGCAGCAGCAAAAAGAAGAAGAAGAAGAAAGCAAAAAGAAGACGAAAAAGAAGAAGAAGACGAAAAAGAAGAAGACGAAAAAGACGAAAAAGAAGACGAAAAAGAAGAAGACGAAAAAGACGAAAAAGAAGACGAAAAAGAAGAAGACGAAAAAGACGAAGAAGACGAAAAAGAAGAAGACGAAAAAGACGAAGAAGACGAAAAAGAAGAAGACGAAAAAGACGAAGAAGAAAAAGAAGAAGACGAAAAAGAAGAAGACGACGAAAAAGAAGAAGACGACGAAAAAGAAGAAGACGACGAAAAAGAAGAAGACGACGAAAAAGAAGAAGACGAAAAAGAAGAAGACGACGAAAAGACGACGACGAAAAGAAGAAGACGACGAAAAAGACGACGACGAAAAAGACGACGACGAAAAAGAAAGCAGAAGATGACGAAAAAGAAAGCAGAAGAAGACAAAGCAGAAGTCGAAAAAGAAGAAGAAGATGGCGACGAATAATAAGAAAGCAGAAGAAATGTATTAAACGGCAAAACAGAAGAAAACGAATGTCAAAAAAGAAAAAGTGGAAAAGAAAAAAAATGAAGAAATACAAAAATGTGAAGAAAGACGAAGACAATAGAAAAGTGAAAAGCATCATGCGTCATCAACTTCTATCAAGAAAACATAAAAGGTGTCTATTAACGAATTCATGGTCAGCCTATTTATGGTGCAAAAAATGTTTCATTTCAGCTATGACAGTACTGGAATATAATGAAATGCTAAAAGCAACGATCAAAAGTAATACACATTCTTTTTTAATTACAGTAGATGTAATTGTAGAAGCACAGAGATCATACAAAAATGAACACAAAAGGCACAGTATACCAAATCTAGTCGTCAATACGGTAATGGTAATATTAGCCGTTTCCCTCCAAGGAAACATTTGCTATTCATTGACCGAACACCCTAGTACTAATTATGGTTAAAATTTATAAATTAATACAGTTTTTCAAAAAATAGATTTCTCAAGTCCAGTATTTGTTATCGCTCTTTTCAATATTAATTTAATTCTCCTTCCTAAGATTTTATTTGAAGCAGTTTATCGTCATGCCCAGAACGAGGCTTGCGGAAGATTTACAAGATAGCAAGCTTCTCAAAAATATCATTACTATCGAGTAGTGAGTTCAATCTTCACTGGGGTACCGCATGTATGTATTGTGGAATGTCAGTATCTTGAAAATGTTATTTTCTTTTCGAATTACATGAGCTATCCATTTTAGTTGTTGCTGCTGTTGGAAGTCTTCAAGTGTTTCTGTCATTTGGAACAGTTCTTTATTTTTGATTCTGTAATGCCAGTTTAGAATGTTCAAAGAATGGTGGTCTTTATCAAGACCCTCAAGCTTCACACGATCAAAGCCTTTTTTTTATATTGATCTTAGATCTTTGGTTGTATACAGCTGACTGTTTGAACGGGTTTGGTGCCATACATGATATCTATATCAAAGTTTCGATATGACGAGGCTATTTAAGAACATGACTCGAGTTTTCAGGTTGATGTTTTGGTTCTGTAGTAACTTGCGGTGTTATGTGAAACTACCTCTGGATTCTCCTATTTCATGTTCAATTTCCTTTTCTTTTATAATAAATTTGTTATAAGAGATGCATACGCCGATGTATTTGAAGTGTTTACTATTTACTAATTCCACATCCTAAATTTTTATGATGGGTCCTGGGAATGTGACATCGCTGCTTTCATTCCAATTCCAGAACATAGCCATCTTTATCGATCGTAGTATGAGGGTTGGTAAAAAAAGTAATACCTGTTCTTCTTAATGACTGAATTAATGCCAGAAAAACACAAAAGTTTTAGGATTCGAAATCTATACCGAAACAGTCTCCTTCCTTATCGATCGGAGTATGAGGTTGGGTCAAAATGCAATGCGCTATTTCTTTAATTGCGACTTAGTAGAAACACTCAGAGCTTACCAAAATGAACACGAATGTCAAAGAATTCCAAATCGAATCGTCCATATAATTTCCTTTTTCAATTGTGGTACGAGATTCGGTCAAAAAGTAATTTCTGTTCATATTTAATTGAAATAGCTCTAAGAATAATGGTAAACAAAACAGCAAAGTTAACACAAAATTATCACGACTGCAAATATAATCGTCAACATTAACATCCTTTTCAATCGACGTATCCTACATTTGAATGAGGGCATACGATTATATACTCGCCTCGTAGGACTCCTTATAACTGCTTTCTTCGCTAATTGCTTCTTTCATCTCTTTCCTTTTGACGCTATTGTTCCCCCAGCACAAGACCAAAGAACTATTAAAATCAGACGATTACTGAACGAGATTGTCGTATTTTTTTTTAATCATTTCGCCACAAGCAAGGCGATAAGGCCACTAAGACACAAGAGATTATTGTGTGTTAGAGAATATGAAAAGACATTATTAAGGAGAGAGAAAAATAAACGAACAGGAATTCAGTTAGTGATGTGCCACGCCTGATACACGCTTAGGCGATCATGTATCTTTCGATACATGACTGATGAAGCAGAATTTTTTCACGCAGTAGGTTACCATTTCTTTCTGCAGTAGACCCGTTGCCATCTAAGGCTTTAGAACCTGGTCTGTCCTGCTATTTACCCATAGCTGGAGGGAGAAGAAGAGGGTTCATACCTTCCCAGGGGCATTAGCACGTTAGTCAGTCAGTTATCTGCCATGCGTGACACACGCTTAGGCGATCATGTATCTTTCGATACATGACTGACAAGGCAGATTTTTTCCCGCAGCAGGTTGCCATTTCTTTCTGCTGTAGACCAGTTGCCATCCAAGGCTATAGAACCCGGTCTGTCCTGCTATTTACCCATAGCTGGGAGGGAGAAGAAGAGGATTCATACCTTTTCCAAAGATTGTCAGCACGTAATAGATTCGACTGGAATTAAGAAGACAAAGGATAATGAAAAATATTACGTAAATAAGAAAGTTCAAATTAACAGGATTTTTTTCTCTCCAGTCTCTTATAGTGATTTTCCAAGCGTAGCTTAGATGTGGCACAAGGCCGAGAGTAGGGGGCACCCAGTGAGGATCAAACTCACTACTCGGTCGTAATTGTTCTAGCGAGAAAAGCTTGTTAACCATTACACCTCCTCGCGGTGCCCCCAGTTTCTTATATATCTATAAGTCTACTATTCGTACGTACTTTGAATATTGTTGCCATGTATGGTCCGGTGCTCCTGCGATATATCTAGAGATCCTTGGTAAAATTCAGATAACTATCAGCAATATAATTGGTCTTGATCTTGCATCTCGGCTTCAGTCATTTTCCCACCGCCATAAAGTTGCCTCTCTGTCTTTTCTATCAATACTTTCATGGTAATTGTTCGCTTGTGCTCTTCGCTATTTTTTAATTTAAACGCAGTACTGTAGTCGAGATCTCATCAATTTACAACTGAGCTGGATCGATGCAACCGTCAGTTCTATTATAACAGTGTTTTTCCCGCACATCTCGCTTGTGGAACTCCCTTTCCGGGTCCATGCTTTCCAGTCAATTTTAAACTTCAAAAATTTAAATTAATCTTCCTCTGTACTCGCTCCTTAGTGGGCTATCTATTTCGTAATCCCTCCACACCCAGCAACCCCTTGCATCTCAGTGGCATTCCGAGGTCTTTGACTGCGCACGCCTTCTGTCGAACTCTCTGCGTTAGCAGAGAGGAACCCGGACGAGGCTTTGCCGAAGGGCAAGGTTTCGTCCGGGGAGGTAGACAGGGCCTGAACCCGTCTAATCGGCTTCAAAAGGCTATTTTTTGGCCGAGCCTATAATAAAACCGGCCTTGTGCCATATTCGTTTCCCGTGGGTGAAATGATAAATACTCAATGCCTTGCTTGGGATGAATTTGATTTTTTTTTTAAATATGTAGGATAGATAGCAGTTATTGTATTCATATGCAAATCTCCATATAAATAACAGTCGATACAGCTGGTGGCTAACCTCGTCCTGATCTTGGTTGAGATAGGATTGGCCAAGCTCCTTTTCCCCATCCCATACCCGGCGCCTGAGGCGTCCCTAAAAGGGAAAGTGCCGAGGGAGCTTGGGAATTTTTGTGCGGTGCGGTCGACCTTGTGCCACACCCGGGTGTGACGTTGGCTAACTGGTAGATACCACTAGTCCTGATATTGAAGACTAAACCACTGGAGAAATAGTAGTGAATACTTCTAGCTAATTATAGCTTACCACATTCCATTCACTACGAAATGTTTTTGCTTCGGATATCAATATAGATAGGTTACTAAAATCTAAAATTCTGGATCTAGATAGTAAAACCCCCGAGGCAGAAGAATTATGGAATCATTGGTACCGAACATTTTAAATTTTTTCAGGCATATAGAGAGTGAGGAGTTGGGTAAAAAAATGTGTTGTCAGAAGTATACAAACTGTTGATCGAATGTACAAACTTTGAAGATGCACAATCTACTCTCTTTAACGCATCTGCGCATGCGTTTTTGATGCCCGGTCGATATCTGATATCATGTTTGTAAGTGGAAAGTTTAATTCGCCAGAGATTAATTTTGTCGGTTTTAGTCTTCGAAGCTTTATGATTATCGAAAATATAGGATAGAGATTTTTAGTCCGTGACAAGAATAAAATATTTACCTTTTAGGTAATGACTCCATTCTTTGATTGCTTCGATGATCAGGTTCGATTCTTTCTCTACTGTGTAGTGGTTTCGTTCAAGGGGGTTCTGGACCAGAATGCAACAGGTCTGCCTCATTCGTCACAGCTAAGCACATGTAGTCTTCATCAGTTTCAATTTCAAGGGTTTTCCTCGTCTAGAGTGAACTACAGCTCTTTCTAATTCACTTTTCAAATATTCAAAGGAATCTTTTTATTTTAGCAGGAAAGGGGAATATATTGTTATTTAGCGCGTAAATATTTAGTGAGTAGTTTGGGATCCAACGACTGTAATAAACGAAAATTGCAACGATTTTCCTTTGATATTGCCTGGAGGAGGGAATTCTCGCAGAGATCTCAACCTTTCAAGGTCTGGTCTAACGGTACCTCTACTGACTCCATATCCCAGGAATTTTATTTTCGTTACTATGTAGACATATTTATTTTCATTTAAGGTGAGAGCGTATTTTTCAACCAGTTCTTTGAATCTTTCCAAGTTAGTTCCATGTTCATTAATACTTCAAATGGTCACGTCATCTATCTACGCTAATTTTCCTTTTAAGTCTTCCTATTCGATTATTTCATCCACAATTCTTTGAAATCTAGCCACACCATTTGTGATCCCAAACGACATCTTTTTGAAATTATACAATTTAACACCGGCCAAAAATATTCCATTTCGAAGCCGTATAAACGGGTTCAGGGTCAGTCTACCTGCTCAGAGGCAGAGAGTTCGACCGTCTAGCTGGAACAGAGCGCAGCTAGTCGATATTTACTGAAAAGAGGGTAGATGTGGCACAAGTCCGAATTTTACGTGGTTGGCCAAAAAGTGTCCGTAGAACCCGCATAAACGAGATCGGGTTTGTCAACCTCCCCCGGACGAGGCTCTGCCGAAGGGCTGTGTCTCGTTCGGCGAGGTTGACTAATCCCATCCCGACAAGCTGCGATCTGTTCAAGCTAGACGGTCAAACTGCCTCTGAGCAGAGAGGAACCCAGAAAAGGCTCAGCCGAAGGGCAGAGTTTCGTTCGGGGAAATTGACCAACCCCATCCCGTTTATGCGGATTCTACGGGCATTTTTTGGCCAAGCTAACGGGCTTGGAAGACCCATGTTAAACCTGGCCTTATGCCGCACCTACCCTCGTGGTCGGGCTAGTAAATACCGACTAGCAGCGATCTGTTCCAGCTAGACGGTCTAGCTGGAACAGATCGCAGCTAGTATATTTAGCCAAACCCCACGACGGTTGCATATGGCACAAGGTCGGGTTTAACGTGTGTTCTCCGAGCCCGTTAACACTGCCAAATTATACCCTTTCGAACATGTATACACAGGTTCAAGTTCTGTCAACCACCTCGAACGAGAGACTGCCCTTCGACGGAGCCTCGTCCGGGTTTCTCTCTGCCCGAAAGCAGAGAGTTCGACTGTTTAGCTGGAACAGATCGCAGCTAGTATATTTAGCCAAACCCCACGAGGGTTGCATGTGGCACAAGGTCGGTTTGACGTGGGTTCTCCGATCCCGTAGGCTCGGCCAAAAATATTCCCTTCCGAACCCGTATAACCGTGTTCAGGGGCAGTCTACCTCCCTGAACGAGAGACTGCCCTTCGTTGGAGCTTCGTCCGGGTTCCTCTCTGCCCGAAGGCACAGAGTTCGACTGGTTAGCTGGAACAGGTCGAAGCTAGCCTTCGTAGTCCGTTGACTTACAGATACTTATAAGCAATTACTACCTATAAGTGTAGTCACTCATGGCGGTGAATGGTTATTTCATTACATCAAATACCAATGGACATTCATTGCAAAGAGCCACTTTGGTTATTACTTCCTTCCGGTTTAGGATTGGACTTCCGGCTTCTCCACCGAAACTGTGAAATTTAGGCTAAGATTGGTTTTCCGGATACTTCTAAAGTATTTTCCTTTTCTTTCACTTCCAGTAGCCACTTGCATCTTAGTGGCGTTATCGCCTTGCGTGGGGTGAATTAGTTAAAGAAATGGAGGATAGATAATAACTGACTCTTGACGTAAACAGGTAAAAATTGAAATGTTCAAGGAAGCAACAATGCGGGAGTTTGCTTCAAAAAGTGGCGGTGCTTGGGGGGTGGCTGAGTAGAACTTTCTAGTTACATTTGAAATACGGCGGGGCATCCAACTCTATAGAAATAAAATGCTGTGTCCTAGTTGCGAAGGTCTGAATTTGCGGAACTAAATAGCTTTCATCCTGGCATTAACGATAGAATAGCGAATCGCTAGTGAGATTGCGCCTGTGGGGAAAGAGGCTGCAGAGTTGGAAATGTCTTCTTTCACAAGACTGTTTGGAAATAGTAATCAGGTGATGAACTTTACAGTTACAGAAGCATGGGATGATGGGTAAAAGGTCCGCCGAAGATTATTGGGCGCTTTAGGTTAGAGCGAATTCTATCTATCTATCTTATACAGTTCAGATCTATCTATCTTATACAGTTCAGATCTATCTATCTATCTTATTCAGTTCAGATCTATCTATCTATCTTATTCAGTTCAGATCTATCTATCTATCTTATTCAGTTCAGATCTATCTATCTTATTCAGATCTATCTATCTATCTTATTCAATTCAGATCTATCTATCTATCTTATTCAATTCAGATCTATCTATCTATCTTATTCAATTCAGATCTATCTATCTTATTCAATTCAGATCTATCTATCTATCTTATTCAATTCAGATCTATCTATTTATATTATACAGTTCAGACCTATCTATTTTATTCAATGCAGATTTATCTTTATACCTATGTATAACTATATAATGCAGAACGAGAAATGGGCAGTCAGCGACTTCCCTCCCCTATCCCCTCCCGACTAAAATATTAAATAACAACAACAAAAGCATAAAACAAACTATTTCTCCTCAGAACTTTGGAAAACGTACTGAAAACTATAAACGTGCAAATGTTTACAAGTAAAAGCAATAAGATAAACCGACAATCAGATTTATTGAAAAAAAATTCTATGAAGGCCGAGTGGATCTGAACAGAAAAAAAAGACGTGTGTTCATATCGACTGATAATATTTGGTATCATTGATCTATTTAATAGCGAGTAATTTTTAGTTTTTGCTGCAGACTTCGCTGTGTATTTACAATAAAATTGAGTTGGCTCAAATTCAACCATAAAAAGTCATCATGCCTTTCACTTTAACAGCCCACGCTGCAAAATATATCTCTCGCTTGCCCGTTGGTTCGTTTGTAGTCGAAAACGGCTTTCATTAAGAATGAAGCAACTGGCAAAGGGCTAACGCTCTTAATAAATTCGACAATGAAGTCGCCATTTCCGTTAAAAAGAATAAGAAAAAAAAAAGTTGTATGGTGTAAATGAATCGACGAATCGGATCGGGTTCGATTTTCAATACAGACACTTTATATTCACTGCGCACAAACACTTGAGGAAAGCATGAGTCCATTTCTCTTTTTGTGCTCTCTGTCTCCCCACCTCTCTCTATCCTCTCTCCCTGCCAGATCTATCTTTTCAGTAATATCACGTCATCCACTCGGACTTGGGTAGGGTAATTGCTGAATAGTGATTTTTACTCCACCCCTCACTCAAACTAATCAACCAAACCTCATAATTACTCTATCTAACTCCACAAAAATATTATCTCATTAACAAAGTTGAAATAATCAAATCAATGTTCACAAACCAAAAAAAAACCAAAAAAAACCTAAAATAAATGGAATCCAATGAAGATCGAACTGTAACAAATACTACAGCTCTGATTTGGTTTCGTTTATTTAATGAAATACCAACTTTTTCCAGGTAATTTAATGCCGAATTCTTTTTTTTTTTAAATAGACATAGGTAGATATTTGATCAGTTTGCATGAGATTAAAAAAAGTAGGCAATATCCGGTTGCAAGAAATTAAAACAATGTAGACACACAAGTGCTTTGCAAGAGAGTCCGGTTTGAACGAGAGTCAAAAAGGTAGACAGATAGCCGGTTTGCACATAAAGCAAAAAAAGGTAGACATGGGTCCGGTTCAAAAAAATCTCGGCACACGTTGAGTTTGCCTGAATTTCAAAAATATAGACAGATGTTCGGTTTGCAAGAGAATCAAAAAGGTGGGCATTGGTCCGGTTTGCATGAAATTAAAATAAATCTAGACACGCGTTGGGTTTTCACGGCAGATAAAAAGTTAGACATAGATCCGGTTTGCACGACTCAAAAATGTAGTCAATGGGCTCGTTTAAACGAGAATCAAAAAGGTAGACAGAAGTCCGTTTTTTTTGTGAGATTAAAAAAAAAATCTAGACAACTTTGATTTTCTCAAGACACAAAAGTAGACACAGATCAGGTTTGCATGAATCAGGGGTAGACATAGGCATAGCCAAAAGATTGTCCTTTTTTTTTTTTTTCTTTCTTTTGGTTGGGGGTGAATTACTCCTTTGCACGGGGGATGCAATCGGCGTATTCCCGACTCTAAATGACTGGGCTTTCTACTGATTCTGTGGACTAGCTTTCTTACGACGACTACTCGGCAATACGTTGTAATTTTGTCGTATTGGACATGAAAAAGGCTTATTTCAGAAATTCTTACAATGTGTTTTTTGATTATTGTACATATCTTAAAAATTAGATTTAACTAATTTTTTCATCTTTCTTACAAACTGATTCGGTTAATTTGCAGTTTAGCGCCCGCGCTCAGTTCGCATTATAAATTCCCCGAATACTTACATTTATGTATAATTGTACATGCTCCATTCGTATCTTGCTTGATAAATTTGATAAAATCTAGCGTTTTGGAGTTATCGACAGTATAAGTTCGGATTCATTCGCGTCGTGGGCAGCCATTACTACTGTTTTTTTTTTTGTTTTTGTTTTTTTTTGCATACATTTGCTGCAGAATAGCTATTACTGGGATATTCACTTGTCTTATTCGCACGCAATATAGTTCTCTTGCGTAGTAATTGAGACAAGTTAGATCAGTAAACAAGGCCGTTAACTACGTTCTCTTCCGCGCTAAGCTTACCGCATTACTGGCGCTGTTTGCATACATTCGCTGCGGTAATGCAAACGTGTAATGGCTGCCCACGACGCGATTGAAAGTATTCTCGAAATTTTTAATGCGAATTGACCACGGGTGCTAAACTGCAAATTAACCACTGATTCAATTGGAGTACTGTCTATATTTTAGTTAGTTTTCTGCTCTTTGTGCCCTCCGAATTTCGAAATTGACGGAAATTTACCAACTATGACAGACTCCTTCCAAATGATAGGCGCTATAACAACCAAACGGGTATAAAGTAGGTCTATCAAAGAGTTGAATGACCTTGTTTTGCATAGTTCATTATCCAATGAAATGTCAAAAGAGAGAGACTTGTGAAGACATCATGAAAAAGAAATTTATCATGATAACTTTGTGTAAGCCACGTAAACACGATAAAAACAATTTTTCGGACGGAAAAGGTTCGATTTCAATAACTTTTTACTTGTTTTCACCAGTTTGCGAACACTAAATTTCAGTTACTAAACTTTATATAAACAACATACACATGCTAAAAACATGCCATTTCGAGCGAAAACTTATACAAACCTGATTTATCATTACAAAAATTTTAAATTAACATAATCTTAAAACTAAAACCCAAATATACTCCATTAAAAACATGGCAATAAACGTAAAGGAGTTGAAATGCCGTTAAATAAAAGTAACAGTCAAAACGTTGTGATTATAGCAACAAAGATAATAGAACGAATAGTAGTAACTCCTCCTTTCAATAATTCGAATAAAAACTCGTCATTTTATGATTCTTATTTCAACATCTTCAGTCAGTTGATTTTGTATCGGTTAAATTACTAGCCGTACCCTTGGGAAAGGTATAAATCCTCTTCTCCCCCCCAGCTATGGGTAAATAGCAAGAAAAGACCGTGTTCTATAGCCTTTGCTGGCAACTGGTCCTACTGCAGAAAGAAATGGCGACCTACTGCGAGAAAAAAAATCTGCCTCGTCAGTCATGTATCGAAAATACATGATCGCTTAAACGTGTATCACGCATGGCACATAACTAACTTCAGGAAACACGGTGGAGTAATGGATAGCGGGTGGGATTGAGGAATCGGAGAGACGATTTCGAATTCCATTGAAATCCCTTACATTCACTCACGTGCTAATACACCTGAGAAAGGTATGTATCCTCTTCTTCTCCCCCCGCGTCCTCAGCTATAGGTAAATAGCAGGACAGACCAGGTTCTATAGCCTTTGCTGGCAACTGGTTTATCGCAGAAAGAAATGGTAACCTACTGCGAGAAATAAAAATTTGCCTCGTCAGTCATGTATCGAAAGATACATGATCGCCTAAGCGTGTATCACGAATGGCACGTAACTGACTGACGTGCTAATACCCTTGGGAAAGGTATGAATCCTCTTCTCTACCCCAGCTATGGATAAATAGCAGGAGAGACCGGGTTCTATAGCCTTGGATGGCAACTGGTCTACTGCAGAAAGAAATGGCAACCTATTGCGGGAAAAAATCTGCCTCGTCAGACATGTATCTTTCGATATATAGTCACCTAAGCGTGTATCAGTCATGGCACATAACTAACTGGCTATTTCAACGTTCTTTTATTTGACGGTCGTTATGAAGTGGCTCCCAAATGAAAGTGTATGACAACGTCATACACTTTCATCAACTTTGTGCCCTGCTGTCATACAAGGTAGCACTTTAATACAAAAGAAGGAGACGAGCAGAAAAGAAAAAAGAGCGACAACGTCACTGGGTAGACTGAAGGGTCAGTCGTAGTGACTCAGTGCTTGGCACGCATCTGTGACATATGCAGAGAACTAATCAGGTGCTCAGCCGTACAGCGAACACACAACACCCGCTTATGGTTTGATTGCTTTTGAATAGCGTCTTCTATTGGTTATTTAATGCCGAAATCTAAATAATCAGACCACAATTTTATGACTTCAACTACATACTTTTTGAACGCATTTGTCTACATTTAACTACACTTAAAAAACATTTGCTTGTCACTTTGTTTTAAAAATGTATTGTTGGTCATTTTACTATATATATATATATATATATATATATATATATATATAGTAAAATGACCAACAATACATTTTTTTTATATATATATATATATATATATTCTTGGGTCTTTTATCTAAAAATCTGTTGTTAGTCCTTTTTATATAACAATGTATTGTTGGTATTTTTATATAAAATGTATTGCTGCTATTTTTACTATTAAAATGTATTTTATACTTTCATAGTGTTTTTTTTTTGGGGGGGGGGCTGTTCACTATTTCCCCGTAGCTAGGATCCTAACAGGTGCTACCACTCCGGGTCAGGCTGGACCTGGGATCAGCAACAGTTTAAGAGGCGGTTCCACGCTCCTCAAAACTTCTAATATCCCGATTAGAGGCCGTGCCGCCGGATGTAGTTTCTCGTCATACCCAGGACTGTTCGTTACAGAAATGATGCTGATGATTCTGATGATACTGACTACGATGATGAGAAACTATTTTCATGCATTTTAAATTACGTAGGCCTCCTACAATAAATGATTTTAAAATGGTGAATATGATGAGTGGGCTGATTTTGAAAAAAAAATTTAGGGCAAGAAATTCATTTCCCAGAATTACGTTTATCTTTCCTGCTCCAGAATACCATATCCTAATCAATAAAATGATCATGATTGGTTTGATGCACAAGAAAAAAAAATTGTAGACGCTTTTGAATGCT